ATTACGAAGGGGGGTGGAAAAAGAAATAACCGAGCGAGTCGCGTCCCCGACGGCGTCGGCGGCGTCGAGTGCCCCTCCCCCCGGGAGGGTTTTCTGGCCGGCGTCCCTTCCGCCCCGCTCTTTTCTGCACTAAAAAGCCCTCTTCGGGGGCGGGGGCGGCGCGAGGGGGGACGCGCGGTTCTGAGATAAAAAATTAGCCGGAGTTGCAAACGCTCCCACCTTAAATCATATATTTATCGCGACATTAATTCAACCCTTTTAGGACCCCTTTTTTCCTGGGTACGCCGCCAGACCCGGCGACGACGGCCCGTTACCTCGCTAATTTCTCAGATTCAAGTATTTTTATGTACCGCCCTCTCTGCCGGCCACCACCGGCTAAATCCTCCCCCTTTATTATTTAGAGAGGCTCGCGAGGCCGCCCGGGGGCGAGCGCCCCATGCCCCCGCCCCGGCCTGGCGCTCGTTTACATCCCCCGCCCTGCGCCCCGGTTTTGCCCCCGTTTCACCCCCGATCGCCCCTCTTCGGGGGACTATCTCGCTCGGCCGCTCGTCCGCGCTCGGTAAATTAACCCGCCGGGGGTAGGATGACCGCTTTTCCTTTTCCTCGGGTTCTTTGTTCCCCCGCTACGACGAGATTACGCGTTAACGCCACCCCCGATCGCCGCCTACGATCGATTCGAGACCTCTATCGAAGAATCCACGCATCCCCGTAATCGTTGTGCCGAGATCCTTCTCGATCGGTTGTTCTTTACCCTCAATCCGCAATTCTTGGGTATTTTTCATACATCGAACTGGTACTCTCTTCCCCAATTTTTTTTCTTTTATCATTTCACGTGAAAAAAAAAATCTTAGTGATTTTGCCATTCCGCAAATCTTGCACCACGGGCAAGCACCTTCCGTGCCAGGGAGAGGAGTAAGAACCTCCCTTCTAGCTCGATACGATGATATGGCTGGAAATGTTTGTGACATTATTATATGTTTATAAAATGGGAATTAAAAATGAGACGACATTTTAAGTAGAGAGGACTGAGGGGGGGGGGATATTTGCGTAGGTTCATTCCATCTAGAAAAGTCATCGTTTTTCGAGGTAAACTAGAAAAGTAGCGGTTCCCATTGTGTCCTCGCCTCCCGGGGGCCCCTCGTCCCGAGAACGGTGTCGCACGTGGCTCGGGGTTCTCGCAAGGATTCCCAGGCACCGCTGCCGAGGGGTCTGTCGAGAGTTGTTTGTTTAATAAATACATATTTGGTGCGCAGGGCGCGCATAAGCCAGCAGGGCCGGCTGCGCCTATTTTTGCAGGCAGTCCTGTTGTCATAGGACTCGGGGCCCTGCTTAGGACCCGGGACCTAGGTCGCATCCTGCGGGAACCCCGTCGACCCCGAGGGGTCCCAAGATGTGCGCAAGCATATCTTACCAGGCACCAAGTATACGCCAATTGTTCCGTAAAGTTTTTTTTCCAAGTTCTTACACCCTTTGAAATCTCACAGCCGACGTACGTCAAGATTTCCCGATATCTATATTTCGATGCTTTATCGCGGTTAAAAAGGCAAAATGACATCCACTCCGATTGGGTCGTCAGGAGCCTGACGTCACGTTCCATCCCTCCATTCCTAGGCCCATGGTTCTGTTGTTTCGGTTCCCATGCAATGTTTAGTCCCATGGGACATGCCTCGCTCTGCAGCGCTCGCAGGACGTGTGAGCGCTGGCGAGATAACTTGGACTTCAATGACGTCATCGCTTCCCCCCCTGGGTACCCGGTGTGAGGCAATCACGAGGAGTTAACGGATCTCGTGTCGTCGTAATTGAAAGCGCGAACAAGATCTGTTTACTTGTACCTGATTGTTCCTCGCGAGCGAGGTCGGTAACGCTACCCCTCGTCCCGCAAAGTTAACGGCGATCGGGTTGCCGACGTCCCCCGTTTCCCTTTTCCTTCCCTACGGGAACTTCCGAAACGCGGTTTTCGAGGTTAAGTCCGAGGACCGTTTAACCCTCAACCCTTGCCGAGCACCCTGGCGCCCCGGCTGGGTCCCCGAAGACTCGGCTGATCGCCGTCCAGGTCGACCTCCTTTCCCGATCCCCCTTCGGGATCGTTTCCAATCCCAATATTGACATCCTGCACGAAGCGCGGCTTCCTCAAAGGAGGTCCCATAGAAATTCCATGGGAATTCCCAGGGCCGAACCTCGCCGACCTACCTGGACGGGATAAGAAATTCGATTCGCGATCCAGTCTCGATTTGAGGTTAGGAGTCGAGTTCGAAGTGCGCGCGCCCGCCCTTACGCGCCTCGCCCGCATGTACCCCCGTGGCGAGGAAGTACACGCGAGCGCGCTCGCACTTTCGCATTTTCACGCCACGTGACCAGTCCCACGTGTCGCGACGCAATGCTCCCCTCGTGACCGTGGACGTGCCCTGAGGAAATCGACATTCTCGTGATCTGAAAAGAAGAAAAGATACGTAATTCCCTGGATAGTACACAATTACAAGAAATAACCACATCCTTGAGAAGGAAAGTTATATACCCTCGAATTAAACGAATTTTCTTTACTCCGACATTTCCTTCTTCGACACACTTGACTTAACGGATTTTATTACAACAATGCACATATCTTAGAGTCGAGCAATTTTCTTCTTTCTTTTTCTCGGTGTAGGACACACGGAGTCGTTGATATCTTTTCTCTTGGCATTCCTTTTTAAGGCGGAGGAAAGAGAGGGCGAGCAGAGGGGCTCTCCCTCTCTCCTTCTTCTTCCTCTTGATATTACATCGGGTAAAAAGAACGAGGAGAGGCGGAACAGCCCCTTTGTTTTCTCTCTCTACCACTTCCACCGTCTCCGCAGTCGGCTCCGTGTAAGAGTCCGTACTTTCTACGTCCACGGTCGCGATACGGCGGCTCGTCTGCGTGTCGACACGACGCTCACACCGAGTGACGCACGGCGACACACGCGCAGGTGTGGGCTGTGTGTTTTGTGTGCGTCAGAAAGAGCGGTGAGGGGAGTCGGAAGGAGCGAGTGGGAAGAGGGGCGGGAGGGGGGCCGCGAGGGAGGGGGACCCAGCGCCGAGCGCGCGGTAGGGAGGGAGTAAAAGCAGGCCTGTTGGTTGGTTTCAACTATATTTGTTTATATTTACACAATAAGCAACAGCCCCGCCGGTTGGGCTGCCTCCGGTATGCCCGTGTGCCGGTTTTAGTGTTTAGTCCGCTGGCTGCTCGGCCGCGCGCTCCGACGCCCCGTCGCTCGCCGCGCTTTCCGTTGGACCGGCCAGGAGAAATCGCGAATCCGCGAGTCCGCGAGTCTCGATCCCGCCGCCGGGTGGCGCCACCGGGTATCTCGCTGTCTCTCGGAAAACCCGCCAAGTGAGGAGTCAAAAGGAGCCTCGGAACATGCCGGATTTTTCTAGTCCCTCGGTCGCCCTGACTTGAAGAACGGTGTAGATCTCTCCAAGGTACTGCTCTCTCTCTTACCTGCTTTCGCGTTATCATCAAAGATACGATAAAACGGGATAAATTACGAGAAAAAAAAAAAACTACCGGGACTGGAGATCGTACCTCGAAGATCGCCGCGTATAAGTCTCTAGATCGGGTGTGGAACTTTTCGCGGGGGGGGAGGCGAAGTGTAGAAAAAAAATATATATACTCCATCGAGTTGACCCGAAGGTCCGACCTTTTTACTAGATCAGGCATTTTTTTTCTTCTTTTTTTCTCTCTAGAGGTTAACGTCAAGTGGGCGACGATATTTCCACCGAATTCTCGGGATTACCTAATGGTTCGCGGTCCGTCGCCTCGCCGGAGCCCGGAAAACCCAGAAATCCAAGATGGCGGCGCTCGCTCTAGCGCGCTGACCGCGCCACGTGGTTCTCGCGAGTGAAATCCGAAGGCGGTCTCGGAGCGGCAGGGTCCCGTGACTCAAAGGGAAAATCGAGGCCCAAGGGGAAAGTCGAGTTTTCGGAAAAGTGACGCGAGATCTCGCACGCTCGAGAGCCTTCCACTTCCCGCGTGGTGATGGACTGACTCACGTAGTACCTCCCACCGCTCTCCTCCCCCTACCTCTCCGACCTCCCGCACCCTAGGTTACGGAAGAGGGCGAGGAGAATGCCGATGACTGCACAGGTAGAAATCGCGTATACCCACGAAAACCAGATCGGACCGTTTCAAACCAATTTACGTTTCGCCTGATTTCCTTCCAGATCCATCCTCCCGTTCTAAAATTAAAAAAAAAAAAAGAAACATTGAAACAAATCCAGTGTTCCAAGTCTTTACTTCCGTCAAGCCGATCCCCTTGGTAAGAATCCTCGAGATACTTTTCCATCGACCGAAGGAGGATGAGAGAGGAGGGAGGGGGGAGGGGGGGAAGAGGAGACTCGGTTTTGCGAGGCGAGTTCAGTGAACGATGTAAACAGGACACGCGTAAAATACGTTTCGTTTACCGTCACGTCCATAACACGAGCTCCGGTCTCCTGGGTGTACATACGCGTCTAACGAGACGCCGTGCCTCTATTTACTCCAGTTATTACCGCTCTGCCATTTTGCCGATGAGAACCGATCCGAGGGTGTCGGGGAAAGAGATCGGCTGTTCGCCCCCTCTCCCCTTCCCTCCCCCCCGGGTGGCCGAAACTCGCGTGTTTACACGCATAAATAAACGGAGCCCGGAATAAAGTCGCGGCTCGGGAGGCAGGTCGGTCGGACTGGAAAAGAGAGAGAGAAAGAGAAAAAAAGGGAGGAAAAGGCCGAGTGGAACCTTCTCGGGTAATATCGAAATATGGAGGCGCGTCTTCTTCTCGAGAACGACGAATTCCGGGTGTCCTTGGGCTCGCCGGACTCCGGGTATCCGCGATTACCGATTAATCCGATCGCGTAATCGCGCCAGCACGTGGACAAATATACAGCCGATCGAAAATAAATCTGGTTAGCCGGGGGGAAGGGGGAAGGGAGGGGAGGGGGTGCGAATAATTTGAGGCGAGAGGAAAGGGAGATAGATGCAGGTTAACAGGGAAAAATCCGGTAATTTCAGGACGATGGCATAATGGATCATGACACGGACGGAGACGGCGCGATCAACTTGTCAACGTCCCAAAGACCCTCCGCTTCGACCACCCCTAACGGTGACACCCCTGCCTACGGCCAAGATCAGCAAGACAACGATCAGGTAGGCACTGATCGAGAACCACCTCGATTTATTTCGATCCCTCGCGTTTATCCGGCCGATCGCCGTTTTAGTCGGTCCTCCTCGTCGGGAAATAACGAGGCCCTCCCCCGCTAGGTAAAACGCCCTTACGTATGGAGTCCCTCGGACCCTGGGATTATTTTCTTTTTTCTTCTCTTTTTTTTCTTTTACCCTCCCTCTCTCTTTCTCCCTCTGTATATAGATCTTTTTTTCTCTTCCATTGCCCTTTGCAGTCGGCGCGAGCCGGATATTGGCAGATACGCGGGAAAGAGTGACTTTTTAATTACCGAGAGTCGAGGGCGTTTTGCCCACCGCGAAAGGAATCGGGAAATGTATAAGGAGAGAGCGGAATGGCCTTAACGCTAGCTTGCGGTGATACCGGGCTTTCGGGGGCGTTTGACACCAAGCCCCATAAAATCGGGCCAACCCCCCTTGATTTCAAATTCAATTCGAAGACCTGGCAGGCAGGGCAATATACCGACTCCTTTTGCGCACACCCGGCAAGGGAAACAAATGTTTTATGGCCCTTAAAGCGGCCTTTCCTGTGGGTCCTGAGGGGAGAAACGCAAGAGGTGCCTGCACTTCTTGGGGGGAATAGGAAACCCTAGATGGCACCTAGACTCTGTGACTCCCCCTGTAGGAGGTCCCAGCAAAGGCTAGCCCTAGGACCAGGTCGGTCGTCCAGGACCATCTTTCCTGACCTCCAAGCAAGGACCTGGTTACAATTAAATCCAGGTTATCGTGGGTCGTTTTCGCTCTCAGGTCGAAAGTCGAGCCCGAGGATCGTATGTGGACCTCCGGTCCTCTGGTTGCGCAATTACGCCTCGGAGTCCTCGCGAATCCTATTTACTTCGCGGAACTATCCCGAAGTCGGTTTTCTTTCCGTCAGCCGAGACTCTACACCGTAAACCGAGCGCGGATGGACTTTTTTGCTGCGCTCGGTAGAAGCGGTACCGGCAACTGAAATGTAATACGTAATATTATAACAACATCTATGTCGGCCATTGTCACGATCTGTGCGTCGCCGGTGCTTATGTCGGCGGCGCTTCCGAGGCGTCCCCGCATCGCGATTTATTTCACTCGTTGCGAACGAGACTCGGCTAATCGATTATTCGGACTAATTGTTCGCGATTAATTATTCGGATTTACCGATGGAACTAGTCCGTCCATTTTTTTGTTCCTTTTCTTTTTTATGTTCCCAAGTCGAGAGACGAGGTCGCGGGTCAGGGTGGAGTCTCGTCACGAGCTGGGGAGTCCTCTTAGATTTTCGACATCCGACCACTTCCGGGAGGGACTGGAGGTCCGCACAATTTCGAGGTCTTCACGGTCCTCGGCTCCCCTGAATTCTGGAGGGAAACTTCGAGTTTCGCTCCTCGTCGTCCCCTGGAGGGCCGCGGAGGTCCTCAAGTTTACCTCGAGGGTGGCCACTGGTGTCCAGTTCGTCCGGGGTCCGCCTCCTCGCATTTCGTCCATCTCTTCACCCTGGATGCATATCTGCATGCCGCGGGGGTGGTGATGATTTCTTTCCTCCATCGATCGGCGGGGCTTTAATGCCCCCGAAGTCCCGCGATCGTCCTTTAAGGAGGACCGCGGGGGGCGTTCATAATTTAGCGAGCCGAAGGGGTTAAACCGTGACACGTGGGTGAGGGTAAGACGAGGGGGTGACTTCGCGGTCCGCGAGCCTTGTTAACAATGCCGACCAAGACGTCGGAGTCCTCCCGGAAACACGGGAAGCTACTTCGAGCTGGCTATGAGGAACATCGGTCTAGTCTTCGTCGGTCATAGTCTCGGCCTCGCGGTCCCAGTATTGGTGTCCCTAGTCCTGTAAACGGTAATAATTCCCTAGATCTCGAAATTGGTCCTGCAATCTCGACTCGCCTGAATTTCACTCGCCGGTCGGGGCGGCGAGGAAGAAAAATCGGAAAATATGGGAAAGGGGAGGGTTGGCCCGGCGAGATGTGGCATCGCGTTTTGCAACCCCTCGTCACCCTCGTAGGAATTCGTGCGTACTCGAATCGGGCGCGACTTCGGGGCTCGAAGAGCCCCGCCGTCGATATCGAGCGACCCTGAAGAGAGAAAGGGTCGGCCACGGGAGCCGGGGCCAAGGATGGGAAAGGGCCCTAGGAAAAGTAAAGGACGCTCGTCGGGAAAAGACAAACGAATTTTCACCTCCTCCTCCCCACCCCCCACTCCGCCCCGCCGGTTTCCCCGCTCGGCGAAATCGCAAATTGCGGATAGACTGTCCTTTCCAATCAAGCCGCCCTCCCCTGCCCTATTTTTCGCCCCTGCGAGCCCCGGCTTAATCCGCAGCCTCTCTCTCCCCCCTTTTCTCCGTCCTTATCCCTTTCTCTCTCTCTCTCTCTCTCTCTCTCTCTCTCTCTCTCTCTCTCTGCCGTGCTCTCGTTTCCCCTAATCCTCTCCGTTGGAACTTAGGCAACGCACTTCCCCGCGAGGACCGGCCGAGGGAAGTACTGGCCCTCTAATTGAAAGAATTTCCCTTCCCGCGAGGACAGCTGCTCGTTGAGTAAAACCGATCGCGAAGGGGGGTGAAAAGGGGGGAGACTTTTTCTCCGCACTTCCTCCCCGTAGGAAAACACGCATCCCCGGGGACGGTAAGGGAGGCAGTCTCGTCTAGAGAGACATTTTTCGAGAATTTATTTTTACTTCCCACCTTTTCCCCCTTCTCTACACCTGACTTCCGACTTCCGAGAAGGTGTTAGATTTCTCGGGTGGGGAATCCCGAGGTGAATCGTCCCCCCGGCCGATTTGAGGGAATTTTTTTGGGGGTCGCGAACCCTTAACGACGACAACCCCTTGGTGTATGAATGCGGGGGGAGCCGGGGTGGAAATTGAAATGCAAACGCGGTGCAACAACGGCCTCGGCGTTCCCCTGGTCGGCTCTGGTTCTAACTGCATTATTAACCGGTCGAAACCTCAAGGCTGTGTACTTAAATCCAATATAGAAATCCTACCCTGCCGGGGCAGGGGTGGGAAGCGTAAGGAGGCCTCAGACCCGTAAGGGCGATTATTCTACATTATTCACACGGCAACTTCCTGCCGTCTCTCCGTGATACCCCGTAGGAGAGGTCTACTTGTCTCGCCCTGTCTCATCGGAGATAGGAGACAGGCTCTCTCGTCCCCCGAAACGCAGACACCTGTTTTACCGACTTAAGTCCACCTGGTTAGACCTTTCCGGCAGACGGGGGTGCCGGCTTGGGGGTATTCCCTATTTAGATCCTTCCCTCATAACTCTAATTCGAATTACGATCTACATCTCGGGGCCGGCTTCTCGATCCGCACCTCCTTCGTTGCCTTCCTTTCTTGTACCTTTCTCGTCCCGACTTTCTTGTACCTTTCTCGTCCCGACTTTCTTGCACCTTCTCATTCCGACTTTCTTGCACCTTCTCATTCCGACTTCCCCTTTGGGAGGAACTGCCGCTGCACGTGCACACCGTGACCCGCGGATTTCGATAAAGGGAACTTTATCCGCACGTTGCGTCACGGGAGACCCCGTGTACGGGGACGTGTGTACGTGATCATGCGTGACAATAGCGTGTCCGATTGCGGCTGTTAAATTAAATTGTCACGTCCATCTCCGCGCAAGCCGTGGTGCAATCTATGCGGCCAACGAGAGATAGACTGCGGATCCTGGCTCCCTCCTTATCCGGGTGTTCAGACCGATGGCTGGACTCCCGGCGCAAACTTTGACATCCCTCGTCAAGAACTACTGGCCACTGATCGTCTATTTTTTTTTTTTGACCGTTGCCAATTTTTACCGTGCCCTGAACAATCGTGCGTTTCGAATAAATCTAAGGAACTGTACGTTGAGAGGAAAAAATAAAAAAGAACCGGAAAAATTGTGAGTTAACACGTTCCGTGCCACGTGGTACACGCAGGCATGTACATAAAATGCGCTGAAAACATACGTTTATGAGAAATTTTATTCTGTTAAATATATTCCACTCTAAACAAGATAACTGCCCATGGATTAATGTTGTAACGAAATATCGTGCGATAATATATCAATCTTTAGTCGAAATATCAAATGGCCTGGACGACAAATCAGGCAAAAAGGGCTTGGCATGGAACGTGTTAAGAAATCTAGAAAAATTGAAAATTCACGTCGATCGCGCTTTCACGTCGATTTGGTATCCACGGGATGTAAAAATAATTTATACTTCCGAAATTTTTTTTTTTATTATTTTTTCCCCGGTGCCCTAGGTTTTCCTCCCTTTTGCAGGAGCCCTCCGAGCCGATATCTCGCGAGAGGGGCGAATCGCGAAGGAAACCTCGGTTCCTGTCGCGGCGCGGCCCACCTGAAATAACTCGAAGCCGAGCATTCGTGTCGCAGGTGTAAACATTGTCAACGAGCGCAAAAGAACTACGTCAAATCCCTCCTCCGTGGAGCGGCTCGCCGAGGACTTTACACCTCTAGGGCGCGCACCTGAAACAACTCCGCGAGGAGAGACCGTTTTTAAAACAATTCGCGGTAATTCGCGGCTAGATTTCACCGAGGCCATCTAAGAGGCGCACTTTGTCCCGCGATCGTCTCGTGATTGCTGTACTTTTTTTATTCGCCATCCATCGAGCGTTCCGAGGAATAACCGTGAATTTTCCTGCAAGGAGTAAATTTCGTCTCCTGCGAGGAATGAAATTTTTTCCAAAAGGAATAAATTTTCCCGCAAGGAATGAATTTACCCGCGAGGAGGAAAACTCGTGTTCTAGGAAGAGGAGGGGACAAGAAATCCGGATAAGAGGTCGAGAGAGATCAATGATGGTTCCTTTTTAGTGAGGTGTACTCAGGTGTGGCCGAGGTTATTCACGATTAATATTAACAATCACCACTTTCTCGACCCGGGAGATTTATGCCCATTTTCTTCCAGCTCTGCTATTTAGATCACATGCGAGTGGTGTCGCAACGCCACGATCCCGGGATTATTAATATCAGGAGGCAGTGGGATACTAGAGGCAGAAATATATTA